TATCTTATTAAAACAATTATATTCAAAATATTAAAACTGCTGCTGTCTACTAGTGAAAAAAAAGATTAGAACTTAGAACACTGGGATGCTTTTATTAAAGTAATTAAGCCATGAAGTTATATAAAAATCATTAAAAATTTTCCCCTAGTAGCACTTTACCATATATTTGATGATACTCATGGTATAAAGGCAGTATCAACACATTTGTTTATTTTTTTTTTCTTTATAGATAGCCAGTATGGTTAAGTCATCTTCAGAAAAAAGTGGGCAAAATTATTTGCCAATTCATATAACAAACTATTGATGTATTCAAATCTTAAGGATTATGTTCAAAATATATATTTTTAGGATAGAAAAAGTAATAAAATTGACAAAGATAGCAAAATTGCTTTAAATTTTGAAGGAAAGAATGAATCCTTATCTTTCTCTATCCCTTTATGATCTTGTATTTTGTATTTTACACTATAATAACCTTTAATCAAAATGTATTTTTAAATCAGATTACAATCTTTGCAAATTATTTTAAATACAAATAATCTGAAATATCCCTTACCTGCATACATGTAGAATATATTCATCAAACCCAATTGTAAAATACTATTAAATTACATCTAAAATCTTATATAAAGTAATTATGAAAATATTTCTGAATTTGTAAAGTACAAATAACTATGCCAACAAGCCAATATGCAAGACTGTTTTAATGTATAACACTAATTTAATTTATCCAATTTATAAAAACCCACTATACAGTATGTGACAATATAACCCAATTCTTAATTTTTCTACAACCCTGAATATTTGAATGTAGATGAGAAAAAAATCCTTCAGGGTTGAATGGTGGATTTGATGCCAAAATTTACAAGTTACAATATTCAGTCAACTACACTACTGAATGTCTAGATCCATATGAAGACATAGTTTCCTGAAAGCTATGAAATAGCATGTTAACGTTTACCTGATTTCAATGTTTCTAAACTGCCCAGAGTTGTCTTTAGACAAGATGGGCAGCACACAATTGAAATAAATAAATGAATAAAATCTCCAGGTAGGAATATTTCACAAGTCTGGTTTTATTTATACTTCTAAGGTAAACAAAAATAAATTAATATTTTCAAGGACAACTGCAGTAGCAAAATATCTAGCGTTTTGCCACGGAAAGCATATTCAAGTTTCTAATCCTAAAATCTTTTAAACTTCTAACATATAATGTTTAAACGCCTTTATGTTCCTTTCCTATTTATTTTTTTCACTCTTGTTTTCCTGATTTCCATAAGCACCCATACATCTCTACTCTAGGAGAAAAAAACCAGTAGTTTACACAAACAAGGAAAATTGTGTAAGTTACTTGAGTAAATTCACCTTAACTTAAGTGAGCCATTAATTTACAGAATCCCAAGCTAAGCCTACCCTCTTATTTAATTCAGAATTGCTGGTTTTACATTATATTTTACAATAATCTTAAATAGGAACTGAGATATATTTGAAAATATTTCAGATTTAATCATTTCTAAGAATAAATTAACAAAAGCTTAGATCGCCAATAAGAATTATATCATAAAATGTATATATACGTGTCTTATTTTCAGATTAACTGTAATAAACTGCCTTTTTTGACATACATATAAACTTGAGTTGAAAATTGCTTAAACATAAACACCATGGATGCTTTAATGAAGCAATAAGATTTAAAAATAGCAATTAAAAGTTCTACTGAAGAATTCAAGAAAATCTAGTAAGAACAAAAACCCCTATCTAGATCACGGCATACAATATAGAATGCTGCCATGTATCTACACACTAAACCAAGCTAGATGATTAAAAGGGCTCTGCAAAGTTCTCTTTATTTCTAAACAGTTAAAGCAGCTAAGAGCCTATGTAATGGATTTATCATATTTATCTCAGATAGCACACCTTCATATACAAAGCAGTCAGCAACTTTGTAGCATGCCGTCATATTAAAAAATATGGGGTGCTTTGTACTCTGAGTTTGTTTTCTTGTAGACATTTGCTAGTACTGATATTATCTAGTTTGTTAATGAAACATCTGCAAGAAAACAGCAAAGCTCAGAAAGCACCAAGAACCACAGTTCAACCCTGTGTTACAAATTCTCTTCTACTGATAGTAAAAAAATATCAGAAGTGTGTCCCCAAATTAGCATGCTAGTTAGCATGCTTTTTGAACTTTTTATATTTGTAAAAAGCTTTTCAGACAGCCAATGCTATTTTTATGTTTTGGCTAGTATTAGATGTAATGTGCTAATATATCTTGTTACTGGATTTAGCTAATTTTCAAAGGAATTCTATCAATAGTAGTAACTTAAACATACTTAACATATATACACAAAGTAAGATGGAGATTTCAAAGAAAATACTTCAACTTGCCAGATCATGTTTCTTAAATATAAAAAGCCAATAATCTGCTTATGATAAAGATAAAAAAAATAAAAGTACCATGAAAAGAACTATTAAAAGCCTATTTCGTTGTTATGCAGTGTATATGTATTTTATGTACGGTAGTGTTGTGCCAAGCTGTAATAATGGTGAGGCAAAATTATTTAAATATTAAAATCATAGTTGAATCAAAGGTTAAAGAAAACTCACCACCATCCCTCTCTCTAACTCTATGAGTATGAATGGTTTTAGCTTTATTGTGTCCACTATTGTCACTGTATTTGTTTTCAGGACTATCGGATCGCCGCAACATTTTATTTGGCGGTGAAGGGTCTGTGGCATCTCGCATCTTGTCATGCCGATGATCACCACCACTGGGGTGACTCTTTGATGTGTACTTAAGAGCCTGTAAGAAAGTTAAAAAAAAATTTTTTTAAGGGAGGCATTATACCTAGAATTTACAATGCTTTTATTATCCAGATTTTTAAGGTAGTATCTGACATTTAAAGTATATACGTAGGCATATTCTAGATTAGTATTATTCTTGGACACAATCTCTATGCTATATTACCAACAGTTTTTCAAGCAACTCAATTCAAAAAGGTTCCAAAATAGTTTGTGTTGCAGTTGTCCAAAGCAAACCGCAGATCTACTTAAGAAGTTATCCAGAATGTGACCCAATACTGATACTGGATGTTTGATTTTTATTTTCTGAACTCTACCACTTAATCAAAACAGACAGTGATCTGTACATGATTATCTTTAACATATTGTAACATATTATAGAACATTTTCTTACTTCTATTTAAGACAGCTAACTTTTCAAACATGGATGTAATATAGTCATGATCTTCTCCTTAAAACACAAACCAGTTTAATAAATAACTCTTCATTTTATCACTCCTAGATGGATACTGTGTTAAGAGACATTTCATAATGATACTTTGTATCTATCAAAAGCTTATTTTTATAGTTTATCCAAGTATGTAATTTTAAGTATTTCTACTTAAAAAATTAAGCAGAAATACTTAAAATTAAATACTTGGATAAATCAAGAATTTGATTTATTTGATTTACGAAGTAAATCAATAAGATGTTATTTGTGAAGACAGCAATTATGTATTTTGCAGAAACAGGTTCTTCAGAGACTACAGATTCAATAAATTCTTAAAGACAACTGCTGCACCTGTACTTTCATGGCAAAATCACTTTGTGCTGTATTGAGTGCAACCTAGAAAGCAGCTTTAGTTAGGAGCTCTTCATCTGAACTGTTTTGGAGTGTATACCTTTTGCCTAGTGGGTTAGGTTAGGTTAGGTTGTTACCTACTACGGCCTCCAAATATTAAGCTCCTCTTGATACCGGACAGTACTTTTAAGGGCCATGTAATTATTTTCATCCCATATTATCCCCATTGTTTGGTGAAGCAAAAATGCCGGGCAGAAAAAGCAAAGTACAAACCAAACTCGCCCAGGAGTTTCCAACATCTGCCCGAATTCCTCCAACACCACCACCACCACTCCCCAATTTGCAAGGCTTTTTATGAATAGGAGGATTGAAGAACTAGAATTCCCCACAGCCTTTTTTTTTCCCCCCCTACAGGTCAGGGGCCCAGGGTCCTTTATTGTCTTAGGGAAGCGTTCCTATAAACAGCTGCCCTCTAAATTAAGACTCCAGCGGAGCTGCCTTAGCGCCATCCCACCGGTTTCCTACGGAGGGGGAAGGAAGGGGGGGAAAAAAACAAAGCCGTCCTCCCGCCCCGCATTGGGCCTAGGCTCCGTTTCCTTGCCCCGCCAGGCCTTTGCCGCTGCCTCCCTCAGGGGCGCCGCGCTTGGCGAAGGAAATTCAGCCTCAGCCGCCCCCTCCTCCTTTGGCCACCCGCCCCCCCCCCCTTACTCGGGCCGGCCGGCAGGCCGGCCGCGCGCGGAACGAAGGGAAAGGGAAAGGGCGGCTCGCGTGCGGCCTTGCAGCGGCGGCCGAGGCCTGCACTCGAGTACTTTAGCTCGCCCTCCCACACTTTAGTTGTTGCCGCCGCAGGGCCTCTCAATGTGGGGACTGCGGCGGGCGAAGAAGTCGGTACCTGATAGGGCTGCGAGTCCCCCTTGCGGTCGTGACAGCTGGAAGAGAAAAAAAAAAGAGAGAGAGAGAGAGAGGGACAGAAACGCAACATTAGCGAGCGACCGTTACTGGCGGTTGGCATCGGGGCGGGAGGGGGGGAGACCGACATAGGCGCAGTCGGGGAGGGCGGGACGCGAAAGGGGTATTTACCCATCATTGAGTCTTTGCTGTTTCCTCGCATACATTACCATCAATGCCCGGCCTGTGTGAGAGAGACTGAGGGGACCAGGAGGGCGCGGCCGGGCCACGGGCGCCGCCGAGGGGGGAAGGGGAAGCAGCGCTCCGACCGGGGACGGGGAAGAGGAGGGGAAGGGAGGGAGGAGGGGCGGCTCAGGCAGCTCGGCTGTGAGAGGAAGCGGCGCTCACGGGCCCATCTCCTCTCCACACCCGCGAGGAGGAGAGGCGGCGCCGCAGTTCACGCACACACAGAGGAGCGCGGAAGACGACGACGTCCCCGCCGCCCCCGCGGTCCGCCTTCGCTCGCCCGCCGCTGCCGCCGCCTCCCCCCCCTCCCTCAGCCACTGCTCCCAACACTACCGCCGTCCGATTACATCCGGGAAACTGGGACGCCACCGCCTTCGCTTACCGTCGGCTGTGGTCGGCTCTTTCCGACCAAACTCCTCCCCCCTCCTATGGCTTTTTTATTTATTTATTTATTTTTTTAATATCAACCTTCCTCTTTCTTAGGCCTAAACCCCGCCTACCTCCCCTCACAGATTCTGAGAGCCTCTCTTCCGAGAGGCATCGGCCGTTTCCGCTCAATGCCGGAAATCCCTTGCTGCGCTCGCTCTCTCGGCTCACGATTCAGAGTCGGCGCCTTCGGAAAATATCGGAGATCTCCGTCAAGCCGACGGCCAGCTTGGATGCGATCTCGGGTTTTTCCGACGCTAGGTGTTTTCCCCCTCGGCCTCCATATCTGCTGTTCTTTCGGCCATTTCCGTAAACGAAGCGACGAACGCGTCCGATCGGCACTTTCCGTGACTCTTGTAAGACTCCCGAGAACGCTCCAAGTGCCGCGAGCAATCCCTGGCCACTGATTGGCTGAGCGCTTTCCCTTCGTTAGCTCCTTTGACTTTAAATGCGTTGCCTGCGGGAAAGAGATGCTGCGAGGCGGAAGTTCGCGAGGTCGGACTTAGTTGCAGTTTGGCTGAGGACGTAAAGCGGTAACGCCTTTGGGTAAGAGTTTGGCTTTATTTTCTCATTCTAACCCAGGACTTTTCCCTGCGGTTCTGTCCTCACTAAAAGTCTTCTTGTTCTTTTGTTGTTGTTAGTTGCGAAGTGTTTTTCCTCTGCGGGACGAGATTAAACCGGAGCCTGAAAGGATACAGCGCAGCCCCGTTCGAAAAGTAAGTCCTGTGGGTTTGCAGCAATATTTGTTTGTGGGGCGTAACTTGGCGAGCTTTCCGTGCAACTCTCGTCATCCTGTGGAGTTTTTGATGCACAGGCTATTTCAAGCACCGGAGCTCCTGGATTTTAGCGGGGTTGCTGGCGAAACGCCCACAAAGAAGCGCTGGAAGCCGGCAGCCGCGCACACAGGCCGTGGGGAGAGGATGAACGAACTCCTGTGCACCTGGCTGGGTCCCCCCATTTGTTGGGGGTTTGCTTTGGGAAAGGGCGGTGGGGTGAGAGAAGAAGGAGAAACGCGGCGTCCTTAATTTTGAGCACCGCGGAGGTGAAGTTTCTCAGCTGCGCCCGGCGCCGGAGCTCGTTCGAAGTTTTCTCCCGGCTCCTCCGAGGTACTCGGGGGCCATTTCGAGGGAGCCCCTGCAGCGCCCGAGACTGGCAACCAAGCTATTCTGGATGCGGGGTTTTTGGGTCCAAGAGTAGGGAGGCTCGGCCAGAGCGCTCTCGTCTTTTCTGCTCTCACATTAAACCGTATGTGTACAATGTAGGATTGCTAAGGTAGCAGTTTTTCTTTCTTTTCTTCCCTAAATGAATTTAGGAAATTGGTGAGGATATAACCAGCAGAAGAAAGGACCCTCATCTCCCAAGGAGGGTAAAGTCAGCAGGATGACTCAACAAGGAGCTATTCTCCAGGGCTACAATAATGAACTTGTGAAGTATATGGAAACATTGTTCCTTCGGAAAAAAGACATAGACCAGCAAATTGGAAAACTGATAGAAGACAAGACTGAGATTCAGAATGAAATTGAGATCTTAACCAAACAACTGGAAAGTGTATGTGAAAGTTTACTTTGGAAAAATACTGTACAACAGAAGCTTGATAACATTCTTGTTGAAGGAATATTTGCATATGATAAGATTTTGGATAGTTCTAAAACGTTGCTAATTGCTTTGAAAACAGAAATGGAGAATTTAGACAAATTGTTAGAATTGAGAAGGCTATTCAATCAATCATCATGATGTACTCAGACTAAGCCAATGCTAACACTGGGAAACGAATTATTTAAGAAATGCCATCTTTTGTTTTTCTATTTGCTTTACTAAGTGATCTTTATTAATGGGCAAGGAAAGTAGTTCTCGAATAATTAGAAATAAATCATCTGAAAACTCGCTAAAGACAAGCTATTAAAAATGAAAGGTGGGGACCAAATGTTTTTATTTTAGTTAAAATAAGATGTAATTCAGATGACAAGGCAGGAGATTGAGGGATGATATCACTGCCAGAAGTTTTCCTTTGTTATTCCTCTAGAAGAGGCTAGGCATTTAACCATAACTCCTTAATAATTTTCCTATAAGTCTTATAGGCCTGTTCCCAGTAAATATGCAGAGGTGTAAATCTGAGAATGTAAAGTGGGAGAGTAGTCCATTTTTCTCTTTCCATATTTAATTTATCTTATCCCTGGTGGATCACTGCTGACTTTTTGTTCTGTAAAAAAGGATATGCCCAAATGCTGACTAGTTTGCTAGAGAAAGTGAAAGTAACTTTGTTTGGATAATGTGTTTAGTGTGTGGTCTGAATGTGACCAATTTGGTTTTGTTCGGTCTGAAGTGTGACCTAAGTTGTTAAAATTTGTAAGCCATGGTTAATGGTTTACTGTAATATGGAAATATAGCTAATGCCTGGATGTGCAACAGTTTAATAAATAAACTATTTTGTTTATTAAATTTATATCTCTTTATTTTGTACAACTCCTACTCCGCCTGCTTTCGTGTCTACTGGAGGACTAAAACTCTAAAACAATCACTCTGTTTCTAGTCCAGTATCTTAACCTCCCACACCAGAGTGATCTTTTTCCCTTCAAAACATCAACTTACTACATACATCAAATGAAGCAGTTACATAATTGTTGATTTTATTTTCAATTTCTAGAACTTTCCTAACAATAAAATGCTAGTAACACATAAGTGAAAAACCCCTGATGCCAATCTGAAAATCCTTGGTTGAACTGAGTTTTAGGGTAATATTAAAGCACTGAGTTTTTAGAATTTAAATTTGTTCACTCATTGTGTTTTATAACACTAATGTGATAATTCTTAGTATTTGAAAAAAGGTACAAAAATTTGGTCATTTATTCACTCTGTAAACACACACTCAGAATACACAGCTTACATAAATAAGTGTAGGAATAAAATGTCCTTATTCGTAAGTATTCTGGAATTCTCTCCTGGAAGTTTGAAAAATTGGGTTAACAATTTTATTAAAACAAGGTTATGCAGAAATTGCTGTATTTGATTATGGCACCTGTTAAACATCCCTTGAACATCCGGAGAGGAAAATTTGCATACAACTCCAGGTTATCCAAGATGGCGTGCCGAAGGCTGCCTCGGTGAAATGCTCTCTAATGGTTTCTTTATTTTTAATTATTCTCTGCGACTCACTACAGATTTCTTACTCACGAGACCATCTGCTAAAAATTAAGCAATGTTTCTTTAAGGAGCAGCTTTCTGTGATCTCACCCCCCCACACACACACCCCTCTATTTACAAACGCAGAGGAGATTCTAACACAGGAAGAAGCAATTTTCCTGGTGCCATGGATTACCAAAAAAACCAAACTGAGGAAATGGCAAAAGAGAGGTAAAAGGGTGGGAATTTTAATCAACCGAAGAAAGAGGAGAAATAAAACTCCTCTGCCTTTAATTTTCCTAACCAACGTATGTTCACTTGCTAATAAGATGGATGAAATACTCCTTTTAAATATACAATTCTGATTTTACAATTCAGCAGTCCTATGCTTCTCTGAAACCTGGTTAAATGAATCAATTGAAAAGGCAGCCTGCATATCCCAGGGTTTCAGATTCAACGATCAGACAGAATTGCAGAAACATGGTAAAAAAGGGAGGAGGCTTATGCTTATATATCAACAACAGCTGATCTCAGGATATAACTATAATATACAAATTCTGTGACAAAAACCTAGAGACATTAATTATCAACTGCAAACCATACTATCCACCTCGTGAATTTCCTCATTTCTTCTAATTGCTGTTTTTTTCCACCACAAGCCTCTGTAAACAAGGCATTATGAACTCTAGCTGACCAAATTATGGACGCTGAAGCCAAATACCCCATTCACTGGCCATTATTCTGGGAGATCTAAACAAGGCAAACTTAAAGAAAGAGCTACCAAAATACTTTCAGCATGTCAATTGTCCCACTAGAGACAAGAATACTTTAGGCCAGTGGTTACCAAAATGGGTAGTACTGTCCCCTGGGGGGCCCAGTGGGATGACTTAGGGGGGCGCTAAGAGGCAAGTGGGGTGGCAGGGGGGCACAAAGAGGCAAGGGGGGTGGCAGAGAAGTCCTGGAGGTGGGCTCGCGCGGCGTCGGCCATTCCTCTTCCAGGTTCCCAACCTGAAGCTCAGATCATCAGACTAGCTGGCCAGTGTGCATGCGTGCACCAGAAACTGAAAGTTTGCTTTCCGCCGCGCGCATGCCCACTGGGCAGCTCCTCTTGTGTGAGGCCTAACTGTTGGATGTTTTTTTATTGCTCTCCTTGCTTGCTATCAGTCGCTGCTTGCCCGAACCACCCAGCCCAGGCCCAGCTGCTCTGCTCCTCACTCACTTGACTGCTGTCACCTTCCTAATTTTTGGTAAGTTGCAGGTGGGCTGCCACAGGGGGGGAGTGGGGAGGGCCTGGGGGTGGCATGGCTGTCTGGCTGCTGCTGGTGGTGCTGTGCCGTGCCACTCAGGAAGGAGGAGGGCTGTGGTGGGGAGAGGCCTGGGGAGGGTGGCAGGCCTGGCTGGCCGCCGCTGGTGCTGTGCTGCCCAGAATCAAGGTAGGCTGCCATGGGGAGCGGGGGACAGACCTGGCTAGTTGGCTGGACACATACTAGCCATCCCAGGAAGGCCTCTGGTGACATCAGAGTCAGCGGCAAAGCTCCTGATTTCACTGAATGCCTCTTTCTTACTGTGGTAAGGGGACGGGCTGCAGTGCAAAACGTCAGCAGCTGTTGTGCTGCTGCCTGCACTGCTTACTTGGAGCTGGTTTGGAAAGGGAAAAAATGCAGCCGAATTAGGTGGGACATGCCCCACCCAGATCCCTCCAAACAGGTCTCCCTATGGTAGCCTCCCCGCTGAAAAGTGCTTCACACTTCTCCTCTACCTTCATGCTGTTACAGGCTCTGCATCCAGGTAGCGGCTGGTGGCCCTGGGTAGCGTTGTCTTGTTGGTCTTGGAAGGTGCAACAGCATGCAGGTAGAGAAGCGGGAAGCACTTTTCGCACCCCCAGCTCATTCGCTGCAAGAAAGAGCGGGCGCTCGGAAGAGCGGGCTCCGTTTGGATGGACGATCACTTTTGGGTCACGTAGTTCAGTGGGGAGGCTACTGAAGGGAGACCTGTTTGGAGGAATCTGGGTGGGGCGTGTCCCGCCTAATTTGGCTGCATTTTTTGCCTTTCCAAACCAGCTCCAAGCAAGCGGTGCAGGCGGCGGCACAAGAGCTGTTGAAGTTTGTGCACCACTTGCTTGGAAGGAAGGAATATGGTTGATTATGGAACTTCAAAGAGGCCTTTTAAAAAAATACTAGCCTCAATCTCTGCATTATTAAATTTGCTAGGATATGAAAGGAAAGTGTAGCAGAGGGAAGTACAATGTGCTGAAATACATAAGACCTTAGAACATGAATACATGTTTAGCTTCAATAATGAGTGTCCAACAGAAAGATGATAAATCAAATTATCTTCCTATCTAATATCAATTATTTTCTGAAAGAATGCAGAATGATTAAGAATTTTGGTGGATGAACAGTTCCAGTCGTACAGATTTTAATGTCCCCGCGTTGTTTCAATGTTTGTATCTATGCTATGAAACAGAAAAAGATCAGTCCTATTTAGGGTGAAAAATGGAGGGGTTCTGTAGGGTACAAGTTAATCCAAGACTCCTGCCAGAAGAGGAGATGGAAGGTCCTAAATTTATTCCCAGTAAGAGAAAACAGCCATGCTGAAATGTAGGTTATGTTATGGCAGTTCTTTGCTAATCTTCAAAAAAATTGGTTAGTACTTGTATGGGAGACCATCAGGAAATCCCTTGATTTTAGCCACATGGGAAGTTATCAGAAAAAGGCAGTATCACAACATTTTGCTTTAGAGCCCAAACCCCCATGTGTCCATCTTCCTAAAATCACGAGATGTTGAGCCCATTATAAAGGAAGACAAAAGGCTTTGCATCTTCTAGGGGCTGATGTTTTTCAAACTTGGCAATTTTGAATGTGTGGACCAGGGGTGGGTTCTACTTACCTTTACTACCGGTTTGCAACGGGATTGAGCACACGCGCTTGCTTTGCTCACATGCACGGCTTGCTTCTGTGTATGTGCAGATTGCTGATGATGACATCCGGAGCGGTGGGAGGGGCCTCCTGCCGGTTTTACTACCGGTTCTTGCGAACCGGTCAGAACCGGGGGCAACCCACCACTGATGTGGACTTCAACTTCCAGAATTCCCCAACCACATGCTAGGCCTTTGGCTATCCACTGGAATGCCCTGCTTTGCTCTCCAATGTTAATGGGACATGTACCAAGGCTATAGCCCCTTGATGGTGAACCTATGGTACATGTGCTGGAAGTGGTATGCAGAGCCATTTTCCCAGACACATGAGCTGTCGGCCAGCTCACCTGCAGCTGCGCATATGAGCGTGCGCCCCAGCTGGTGTTTGGGCCTCCGGTGCACATGCACGCAATTCAGGGAACCCAGAGGAGCTCTCCTGTGCATGTGGATGTGTCTGTACATGCACACATGAGTACTGGTGTGGTGCGCAGTGTGCGCATGCACAGATGGCATTCATGCACATGCATTGCACATGCAAAAACCATGTGCATGCGCAGATGGTGCAATTGCGCACAGAGCATACGGGGAGCTGCACAAAACCTGCACACATGCACAGATGGTGTGATTGTGTGCACAGTACGCAGTGGGCATGTGCAAAAGCTGTGCGCATGTGGAGATGGTGTGGTTGTACACACAGCACATGGTGGGGGCGCGCGAAAGCTGTGCGCTTGTGCAGATGGTGCAGTTGCATGCACAGCTCATGGGGAGGAGCCACACGATAGCATGGACAGCACACACAAAGCACATACCTGTTCAGCACTCGGTGAGTAAAAAAGTCTCACCACCATTGCTATAGCCTGTATAGAGCGAGGACAAGGTTGTTCTTTCAGTGTATCTTTTCCTCAACTGAAGAAGGAAGCAGTGACGCTATGGAGATAGATAGTAGGATCAAGAAGGCAAGGTGCCCACAGACAAGAAATTTCTGAATCTGGCATCCAGGATGTCCCGGCTTAACCCAGTTAGCCTCTGGAGATTAAAAATGCCAGCTAATGATTGCAAAATGTTGTCTGGGAATTATAGCAATTGCAATCTTGAGATCTATGTTAGAATATTGATTTATAAAAATGGAACATCTGTGGCACTGATGCCCTGTATACATCTGTCTCAGTCATTGATAATGACATGCTCAGGACCAGTCCTTTTCGGCCGTGTTGAACCTCAAAGCCCTGTTTATTTACTTATATTCTGCTTTGATTATTTTCATAAATAACTCAAAGTGATGAACATAATAGTCCATCTTCCTCCTATTTTTAATATTATGGGATACAGTTAACAAGCAATAAGCAATATTGATTTAGGATAAGAGCAATGACTATTCAATACTAATGGCTTGTTAGGCAAA